ATGGACAGAGAAAGTATCAATTCAGCTAATGTTCAAGCGAACAATAGTAAATAAGAAAATCACATAAGGTGATTTATGCTTACTAGTAAAATTACAAAATGAGGTAGTTGAATATTTAATTACTAAGAGATTGTACAATGAAATTTGAACAATAATGGAGCAAAACATACACTACACTACGTAGGCTTTTAAGTTGGACCATAAATTCTAATATTAATCCTGAACTAAAACACTTTTTTGATAGTTGCAACTGGACCCATAGACATTCCTTGTGTCTGGCTAAAATCTCTTTAAAATCTTAATGTACATAAAAGGGCCTAAAATCTGGAACTCCCTCCCCAAAATCTCTAGAACCACAGACTTAACTATCATTTTCAAAACTACCATTAAAAAATGCCTTATCTCCCTAACACACCCTATCATCAGCTATTTGAAAACCATAGATGCTATTTTCTGTATCATGATCACACACAAGACAAAACAGACTTACTCTCATTATCTATAATTCTTCCTATTTTACACTTACACCCACCCAGATGACTATAAACATCAAATTCCTAATATTTATTGCCTAATTAATCTTAAGTTAGTCCTGAGTTTGTCTGAAATACTCTGCTAATATAGGAGCTCTTATAGAAACTGTGTATCATGCTGAGATACAACCATTCCCACTACTAAATTTACTAATGGTAATACTGTTATTGTTTTGAATTGCCTCACTATTATCAATCTTATAATGATAAACTTTTTAATGACCTAACTCTTATATAAGTATGCAATAATGAATATCAAAATGTACTGTTACATAACCTGTGTCAATATAGAGTAGTCAGCCTCTTTAAGGGAGGTTCCTAGTTGTGGTAAAGAGGCTGTCAGTCTGAGGAATTGGACCTCTTGGTCTTCTTCCTCCGACTGAACCTAATTACCCCCCAATCCCCCCTTCCCTATCCCTTCCTCCCCATACCCTACCTTTTTTCCCTTCCCTCCCCTTTCCCAACCCTCCCCTTTTCCCCTTCCTATTTGTAGCCTCTGGGATCCTTCCCTCTGGCATTGCGGTTTCTAGGTGGGGGGTGGCATGCTGGGGTTTGTCCCCCTCCATAAGGTCCCTCGAGGGTGGTGTGGTTTACTGTGGAATCTGAATTGTCTGAGGATGCTCTACTCCCTTCCCGGTTTCCGGGTCGTGGGCGGGTTGCCCTTCGGATGATGGGTGTATCTCTGGAAGCTACCTGTCAGTTCTGGGGGGGTGGCAGCCGAAGGAGGTATGCTTTGTGGTGGATTTCCGACCGTCCTTTCTTTTGTCCACCGAGGTAGCTCGGTAGATGTGAGGCTGCTATCGCAGAGTACTGGTTTACTGGCGTGAAGGGTAGGGTATGGCACAGGTTCCACACTGCATCTTCACTGCCAGTGGGCTTGAGGCCCTCTCGGATGAGGGGAGGAGCTTCCAGTCCCTCCATCCCTCCTAGCAACTATCCCTCCACTGTCCCTCTTTTTTTTTCCTTCTTTCTTTTTTTCTTAAAATAACAAGAAAGGAGATATCACGGAAGATGCACCTATTATTATGGAATCTTCACCTAGTGTAACCCTTCATCCTCCCAGGCCCCATTTTGACCCCATCCCACAGATGAGGGGAGGAGCTTTCAGCCCCTCCATGCCTCCTAGCGACTGTCCCTCCACTATCCTTCTTTTTTTTCCTTCTTTCTTTTTTTTTTAAAATAACAAGAAAGGAGATATCATGGAAGATGCACCTATTATTATGGAATCTTCACCTAGTGTAACCCTTCGTCCTCCCAGGCCCCATTCTGATCCCACACCCTGTTCTGACCTGGCTTCATTATCGGACCATTCTCTCAACTTTTTTCACACCTCTGTACCTTCTGCTGGTGATGCATCGTCACCTGCTTCAAGTGCTGCAGCCTCACCCACTTCAGTTCATACCGCTGCTTCTAGCACAACTTTCACAATGTGTCTGGCTTCCCCGATTATGGTGCGATGGTTCCCGGGTCGCCCACCTTCTTTGGGTCAGACTGCCCGTGGTTCTACTCCTAAGCTTCCACGACAACCTACTGATGACAGTTCATCAATGATTGCTCAAAAATGACCTACACGACACTCACTGCCTCTGAATACTGGACTAACAAGTACACAATGGACAAAATTCTTTTTTTACAAACTGATTATCTTTCTGACCATGGAATTGGTAAAGCTCTTTTATGGCACATTGGCCAAAATATATCTTTCCACGGTCTTCGAAGAGGTGCACATGTTGTAACAGTGCAGAATTCAGAGCAAGCTCATGCCCTCTCCCGCATCACTTCCATAGATAACATACCCTATCCTCAAGGTAGATACATACATCCTGCCTGCTTGTGGGTGGAGGCGCTTTCCTAGTAACATCTCTTGTTTAACCTTCGACTGCTGTGAGCTTCCATCCTCTGTCTATATTGCAGGCCATCGTCTAGCGGTCCGTCAAGTTGTTCCCACTCCCCAACAGTGTCGTAATTGCTGGCATTTTGGACAACCCGCTAAACACTGCAGATCTGTGGCAGAATGGCCAGTCTGTGGTGCAGCAGATCACTCCAATACATCGTGTAGCCTTTCCCCCTCTTGTCTTAATTGCAAGGAGCCTCATCCTTCCTTTTCATGCCATTGCCAGGGTTATCCTAATGAACGAGAGATCCGTTATCTTTAAAAGAGATCCATTATCTTAAGGAGCATGAGGGCCTCACTTACACTATGGCTGTCTCTCAGCTCCACCTTCAAGGTAAACTCCCTCGTGTCCCATATGCTCAGGTAGCCCGAAAACCTCCAACATCGACGGTCCTCCCGCCTCTCAGCCCCTCTGTGTTTGTGTCTTTTGGGGTCGCCCCCATTTCTTATTCTTTTGCAGTTTTATCCTCTGACACTCCTACCTCTGCACCACTTCCTCCTTCTACTTCTTCATCTCACTCGCTTGCTTCTCAATCTACGAAACCTCGCAGACCTGCACTTGCTTCTCGTTCATCACCTGCACAAAATATATCTCCTACCTCGGAGCCTCGTTCTCACCCTCTTTCCAGCTCTCACATGAAGGTAGATGTTCACCCTCCCCCTCATGTAGTCCCCTCTTCTCCTGTTCCTCCCCTGTCCTCTTCTATAGTTACCCTCCAACTTCCTCTGCTGTTACACTGCAGGCCTCTTCTACCCTAGCCGATTCATCTCTCCAGGTTTATACTCCCTGCCCCGCTCAGACCTCTTTGGTTGTCTCTGTAGTTCCTCCGACCTTTCCTTGCAATGCCTCTCCTGTCTCTGACATCATGGCATCGTCAGCTTCCTTAACGACTAAGACGTTAGACGCTATTTCCAACTATATTGCGGAGACAACACCTCATTCTGTTAGGTCAAGTGTAGGTTTCTGACCTTCTTGTTATTGGTGTCGAGGTTGGGAGACTACTCTCTCTCATCTTCTCATCGGCCACACTCGCCGTACTCACTGGTATCTCATGGAGAGGCGACCTGTTCCTCTCTGTGAAAATTGTCAAGTTCCAGTATCTGTTAGCCACATTCCATTGGACTGCCCACTCTATCAACGAGCATGCAGACTTTACCTCCAATGCCGTCTCCGCTCTGCTGCCCTTTCCTTACCCTCCTTTCTTGCTGACGGACCCTCCTTTAATCCAGACTTTCTCATTTCCTTTTTGACAGCAACTGATTTACTACACAAACTCTGATGATGATGTCTCTGGCACTCTTTTCAGCCCTCTCCACCTTAATCTCTAGCTACCCTCTACCCCTGCACTATCCACTGCCCCTCAACACTTCAGAACCTAATAATCATCCCTTTCCCTCTTACTACCCATTACCCCTGCATCCTTCCCTGCCCTGCTGCACTGTATAACCCTTGTAGTTTAGTGCTTCTTTCTGATTATAATAATATAGAATAGACAGTAAGATTAGGATTAGTCTGCCCAAAATGCCTAGGCATGCTAGTGGCTTCCTTTGTAATTAATATTTTGTAATATGTAAACCACACATTGTAAGCTTGGCAAGGAAATAAATGTTTTCATTTTCATAAGTACAGTTATCATACATAGTGTAAATTACCTCGGATAACCCCAAAAAAAGCCAAAAAAGTGCTATACTGTGCATGTAGATTTGAGGCATAAGCATGACTATGGCATTTCCACTTGTTCAGATATGACAATTCTGCAACACATATAATACCTTCTGGTTCATGAGTGGCTCTCTTAGAAACAGAGAGAGAGACAGACAGACAGACAGAGAGACAAGCAGACAGAGAGTGACAGAGACACATGCTTATGTGTGTGGAACAGTGAGAACAAATAAAAAAAAAATTCCAATATTCACTAGGAGCAGTGCATGATCAGCAATACTGAGCGATTTGCACCATCATAAGTGTACAGTAACACTTTCGTTAACACTGCTTCAAGGAGTTTCATGTTCTCCAGCACTTTTAAAAACATTGCTGGGAACTATAAATGATTTGTATATATGTATTTCTAGACGATAGTATGTGACCAAGCGTGTAATAAGGAATAAGACAGGTGAACAAGTTCACCTGTCAGTGTGTTTGTGACTGATTACTCTTTCCATTCCTAATATTAGTGTTAGAACAAAGATTTTTAATAAAATCACAAGAACTACTATTAATTGTAATTATCTGAACATAAAAATTATATATATAAAAAAAGATAAAAAAATGTATATTGGCAACATTTCTGAAAGCAGCAGGACTTCATGTTGCTGTCAGGTGAACATTTAGTGCCAAATTTTCTTCTTTATATCTTGATAAATCCTGACCCTAAATATTTTTTGGGGTCTTATTACACAGAAAACTGCCCTCTTTGTTTTATTTTATTTATTTTTTTTTTCAAAATACTTGGAGTGCTAGCAGTGAAAAACGTAGATCCATGTCAATAAAATATTCACTTTATATCTCTTGACTGTGGAAAGTTACAAGTTCAAAAGTGGTAAATATTTCATCATATTTTTCATATCCACAGATCCAGAAATTGCTGACTGCTTCGGGTCCCACGTCAGAAAATTACACGAGAAACTAAGTATCAGAACTTCAATGAAACATAACAGACATAATAAACAAATCCTCATCACTGAAGGAGAACTGGGACTTATCCAGTTTCAAGCCCAAGTCCTTAAAAAGGCAACCAGTATTCTGAAGTCTTTGTCTGAAAAGAGACTTGGTTCACCAAGTTCTCGCACTCTTCATTTTGATGGTTCACATGAGGTGGCTAACCTTAAAATTCATTTAAAGTGCAAACTGGAGGTGGTTGTTGAACTTATTATGCAAAAAAGTTCTATTATTTCCCTTCAGATGGTTGATGAAGTAAGCTGTGAAATGCAGCGTCTTATGATTCTTCCTTCTTACTGGAATTTCCAAAAAAAATTTATCACAAATAGTATGAAAGTGTCAGGGAAATCAAGGCAGAGTTGGAAAAATTAATGGATCCTACAGTAAAATTTGATACAGACCTGGAAACCAAAGTTTGTGCTCTTCTGAAAGCAAGTGAACAATATTATGGTGGTTTAGGAATCAGCAAAAGTGAGAAGCTTATGATTTTGAAAAGTATGGGGCTCAGGCAGGGGCACTGGTATAAATGCCAAAATGGGCATATCTACTGCATTACTGAGTGTGGAGGAGCCATGGAGGAAGGAACATGTCCTGACTGTGGTGCAAAGATTGGAGGGATATCTCACAGGCTGAGGAGTGACAACTCTCTGGCTAGAGAGATGGATGGTGCTCGACATGCAGCATGGTCTGAGGGTAACAATATTGCTAACTTCAACCTTGCTGATATATAATTATGTTAGCAACCCACTAAATGACAGCAGGGTGGAGAATGCAGAAACCTTTTTTATTCCATTGGACGGTCATACAGACAAACTAACTGACATTAGTACTAATCCCATAGAATAAAAAAAATGAAAACATACCCACTCACTCAGCACCTGGACCAGATTCATGGAATTCCTTATTTATAAAAAAATAAAAGTGCAAAGCACCACAAGCACTCAGCATTCTTTGGAGAAAGAGCCTAGATCTAGGTGAAATACCAGAGACCTTAAAGAGTATAGACATAGCTCTTTTGCATAAATGAAGTAGTAGAGTACTAGCTAAAAAAAAGTCTTCAAAAGAGTGATGAGATGTCAGATTACAAACTTCATGGAACAGCATTATCTCCATAATCCAAACCAGTACAATTTTAGAACTGGACGATCATGTCTGGAGTTTACCTGGAGAGGGTTTCGGGGGTCAACGTCCCCGTGGCTTGGTCTGAGACCAGGCCTCATGGTGGATTAGGGTCTGATCAACCAGGCTGTTACTGCTGGCCTCATGCAAGCTGATATATGAACCACAGCTCGGTTGGTCAGGTACTGACTTTAGGTGCCTGTAGAGTGCCTTCTTAAAGACAGCCAGGGGTCTATTGGTAATCCTCCTTATGTATGCTGAGAGACAGTTAAACAGTCTTGGGCCCCGGACACTTATTGCGTTGTCTTTCAATGTACTCGTGGCGCCATTGCTTTTCTTCAAAGGAATGTTGCATCTCTTTCTGAGTCTTTTGCTTTCATAGGGAGTGATTTTCATGTGCAGGTTTGGTACTAATCCCTCCAGGACCTTCCAAGTATATATTATCATGCATCTCTCTCGCCTGCATTCCAGGGAATACAGATCAAGGACCTTCAACCGTTCCCAGTAATTTAGGTGCCTTATCGTATTCATGTGTACCGTGAAAGTTCTTTGTACACTCTTCAGGTCTGCAATGTTGCCAGCCTTCAAGGGGGCTGTTAGTGTACAGTAGTATTCCAGCCTAGAGAGCACAAGCGATTTGAAGAGAATCATGGGCTTGGCATCCCTAGTTTTGAAGGTTCTCATTATCCATCCTATCATTTTTCTAGCAGATGAGGTAGATACATTGTTGTGATCTTTGAAGGCGAGATCCTCTGACATTATCACTCCCAGGTTCTTCACATTACTTTTCTGCTTTGTTGTATGGTTAGAATTTGTTGTATACCCTGATACATTTTTAATTTTCTCAGGTTTCCAATATCTGTGTAGTTGAAATTTCTCCTCGTTGAACTAACAAGTTTTGGAAGTCTGAACTCCTTTTACACCAGGTTTATATTCATAGTCATCAGTAACAGAAAATGCATTGTGCTTTATACAGTTAAATAATTTTTAACTCAACTGATACATAATTCTGAAGGGAATAATATTTTTTGGTTAAGAATTGCTTACCTGCTTTCTATGAATACATATCACTGCCTCTTATATTTAGCAGTGAACATATACACTATTAACCCGTAAATGGTCCAAGCAGATCTACGTTCACATGTGTAGTGCTACAAAAGTAGATCTACATTTTATTTTTACATATTTTCAAATGTAACAAAAAAAAAAAAAAGATCAAAGTTTTTTTACACATTTTCAAATGTAAAAAAACAAAAAGAAGATCTACTTTTTTTACATACTTTCAAATGTTGAAAAAACGTATATATACGTTTGGACTGTTTATGGGTTAATATTTTTTCTATGTTAATGATTTTATAAAAAAAAAAATTGTAGTATTGTGTTGATAAAATGTTAATTATATAAGGCATCATTTTTATCTTAGTCGCTATTAATTAGTTCAAGAATTTTTATGCATAATAGTAATTAGCAATATGGACATTAAGATTTTTATCATTCAATTTTAAATATATATATTTATATCAGCACCATATTCAATGGCTTACATGTGTAATGTGTAGTGCTACTTCACTAATTTATCTTGTCTATAAAAAGATAAAAGATAAAGAATTTATTTCTTTGCAAAGGTAACAATGTGTAATTACAGTTTTGATTTGCTAAGTACAAAAAAAGCCACTATCATGTTGGGGCATTTCAGGCAGACTAATCCTAATACTTTAAAACTGCTTTAGTCTAGACAAGATAAGAGTGGATACCTTTTTAATAAATCTTTATTTTATCTTAATACTATTGCGAGGTAGTCAAAGGTGGAGGTTTATAAGAATAATAATCTTGAAGTTGCACATTACAAATAACAACATTATAAATAATGGTTTGAACAGTATTATTTTATGGATTAGCATGTTTTAACCCTTTCAGGGTTTTGGACGTACTAGTATGGGTTACGCACCAGGGTTTTTGACGTACTAGTACGCCTAAATTCTAGCGCCCTCAAATCTAGTGAGAGAAAGCTGGTAGGCCTACATATGAAATAATGGGTCTATGTGGTCAGTGTGCACAGTATAAAAAAAATCCTGCAGCACACAGTGTGTAATGAGAAAAAAAAAAAACTTTGACCGTGTTTTTGGATTAAAACAGCGACTTTGCACTGTATTTTCATATGGTATTTATTGTTGTATTCTAGTTTTCCTGGTCTCATTTTATAGAATGGAAGACATATTACAGAAATTGAGATGATTTTGACTGGTTTTACAATGAAAAGTACCTTGAAATTGAGCTCGAACTAGCAGAAATGTTCGATTTTTACTAAAGTTTGAAAGTAAACAAATCATGCTAAGCGTCCAATACACGTAAACTGGTGAGTCTAATACTCTTTCACAAGTCCGCTGATATTATTTATACCATTTCTACACTAATGCAGTAGTCTGCATAATAGTAAATCTTCTATTTTTTGTGAGAATAAAAATTCAAAGTGGAAAGCAAAAGAATGTAAGAAGGGCGTGGGGACGTGACTAATGAACAGAGGAAATGTTATTTTAGTGCCAGGAATATCTTTCTTGTTTATTCTGGACCCTCTTTGGAAATTGGCATCTTTTGAAATTTGTGTGAAATTGGCAAAATTGCTAAATTCTGACCACTGTATTGGATAGTTGAAATTGGTAAATGGGTGGTTTCTAGTACTCATTCAATAGAAAAAAATGGAGTTCTAGTGAAATAGTTATGATTTTTTGTCGAGTAGTACACTGGAATTGGCTGAAAATAGGGCTCAAAGTGGGCAAAATCGCCGATGCGTAACCATTGTCGAGACCGCTAACTTCGCTAGAGCATAATTCTGTAAGTTTTCCATCAACTTTCATACTTTTGGTGTCATTATGATCGGGAAAAGATTCTCTATCTTTTCATAAGAAAAAATAATTTTTTTTTTCTTTTGAAATTTGGGTGACCCTGAGAACAAGTTTCGGAGAGGGCCTGCTGACCCTGAAAGGGTTAATAGACTAGAGGTCATATAATATTTGGGATAGTTGCTTCATACTGAATAGAAGTTGTGTTGTTTAGTATTAAGAGATGAGATGATTTTTAAGAATAACCTTAAACTTGTATGCAGTCAGGAGATCTTTTACAAGTGCAGGAAGTGAATTCCAGATCTTCGGGCCCTTTATGTGAGACTGACATGAGGGATGCCGAAGAGTGCTCTGTGCATTCTGTTGTAGCTATCAAGAAGCTTAAGTGGAGGATTTATGTTGGAGTTTAATGTTCTCTAAATATAGTGGGCACAATAATATGAGTGTAAGTCTTGTATATTTAGTAGGTTCAAGCTTTTGAAAAGTGGTGGGGGTGTGCTGTCTGGCACAGGAGTTGGTGATCATCTGCACAGCAGCATTTTGTTGAGTTATTAAAGGTTTAAGGTGGTTGGCAGTGGTCGATCCCCAGGCACAAATACCATAGGTGAGGTACCAGTTGAAGCATTAATGCCCATTCTGTAAGAGCTATTATCAAATATGGTATTGTACTGCTAACCCCAGTATGGATGAGGCTTGAACTCATGGCAAGTAAGTGGTAAAACTCCAGGCCAATGTGTAAGCCACTGCACTAGCTGGCTACAATAAGATTCATCCATCTAGCCCAACTTGTAGCACTTTGCTTAACAATAAATATTCAGTTTCTTTGGCTTCTTTAAGAGCTTACAAAGATGCCACTTCAGATATTTAAAATAGGTTCTTTATGATGTTTACATTATGTTAGTATGCCCAGAAGGTTTATATTATTCCTTTTTAAGTCTCTAGCATTATATAAATATCATGAGAGTAGTTAGTAGAAATATGAAACCCAGTCATTGTATTTACACCACATCAAATTATATATCCTGCAATCCAAATATTGTTTTAATGGGACCTAAATGAATTAAGAAAATATCCTGAGAATATGGATATTAATATGTTCTGGTAAATTCAGAGCTCCTAATTTATTTTTATTGAGATTGGTAAGTGCTCATTTTATTTATAAAATAATATAAAGAAGTTACAGTGTAGTGTATATGATTATACTGTATGTACAGTATGTATACAGTACAGTGGACCCCCGGTTTATGATCAGCTCCCAATGCGACCAATTATGTAAGTGTGTTTATGTAAGCACGTTTGTACATGTATGTTTGGGGGTCTGAAATGGACTAATCTAATTCACAATATTCCTTATGGGTTCCATGGTGGAATGATGAGTGCCTCCGAGCAGTGAAGGCGCATCGGTCAGTGTGGGCACGGTGGTGGCGTCAACCCTCTCAGACTCAGCAGTTGGCTTACCGAAGGGCAGACGCTCTTTGTCGGCGAACCCTCCTCCAGGCGAAAGGTGCATCCTGGACTTTATTCTGTTCTTCTCTTTCTTTTTGTACCTCTGCCAGCCAGGCATGGGGTTTCTTCCGCTCCATGTTGGGATCACGTTCTGTAAGTACTTTTCCCCTGCTGGGGGAAGGAGCGACTCCACTCTTACCCCAGGACAAGGCTGAGACATTTGTAAATTTCTTCGGTCCTATGTTTTCTCCTCCTCCTCCTCTACCCTGTAAGATGATCAAATGGGGCCCTTTGTCACCTGCTGTACCCGAGGTTTACTGCCAGGTGTTGGCATCTCCCTTTCGCTCCCATGAACTGCAGTGGGCACTTTCCCAACTTTCTTCCCACTCTTCTCCAGGGGAGGACAACTTACCCTATTCATTTATACTACATCTACCTCCCTCCTGTACAGAAGCTATGCTGGAGGTTTTCAATACCAGCTGGTATACAGGTGTCTTTCCTGATATGTGGAAACACTCTCTTCTGGTTCCGATTCTAAAGCTGGGCAAGGATTATACCCAACCGAGCTCTTACCGGCCCATTGCTCTACTGCCCTGCTCTGTGCTCCAGTTCCCCGAATTAAGCCTGAATGCCTTCCACATCCCCCCCTCCAGGCGCTGTATAATCCTCCGGGTTTAGCGCTTCCCCCTTGATTATAATAATAATAATACTGCCCTGCTTGGGTAAGGTGCTGGAACGACTGGTGGCTACTCATCTCTCTTGGTGGATTGAGGAACATGGCCTCCTGCCTGAAAACCAGATTGGCTTCCGAGAAGGTCGATCCACCCTCGACCCTTTGCTTCAATTTACACAGCTTGTGCATACTTCATTTGAATGTCGGGAGTTCCTTTTAGCTGCATTTTTGGACCTACACAGAGCATTTGACTCTGCATCACACACAGCAATTGTTTTCAAGTTGGCCCGCATGGGGCTGACAGGAGCTCCCCTCTGCTGGATGCCCAACTTTTTGCAAGGGAGGACCTTTTGTGTAGCAGTGGGTGGTGCTTTGTCCTCACCCTGTCCTGTATACCGGGGAGTGTCCCAGAGATCTGTTCTTAGCCCACTCCTTTTCTCTGTCTTATTGTTGGATCTCCCTTCCATCCAGGGAGTGCATACCCTGGTATATGCGGATGATGTGGCCCTTATGTGCAGTGCCCTGGCTTTACTGACAGCACAGGAAACACTTCAGGGTGCCCTGCAATGCATAACATCATGGGCCACCACCTGGGGTTTGGAGGTTAGTGACACTAAGTCCAAGCTCTTATGCTTTACTAGACGCAGAATCTCCACTCTTCCATCAGTCTCATTGACTCAGATGCCAATCCCTTTGGTCTCTTCTCATCATTGGTTGGGAGTCACCTTAGATGCACTGTTCTTGACATGGAAGAAACACTTAGCTGCCCTCCACCCCTTGTGTGCACATCGCATTACACTTATGCGCCAGATCTCTGGCACCAAGTGGGGGGCGGATCGAGACCTTCTCCATAAGTTCTATATAACTATGGTTCGCAGCAAGCTCACTTATGGGAGTGAGGTGTATGGCTCGGCTTCTTCCTCCTCTCTTCATCGCTTAGACATTCTCCAGAATTCAGCCATTTGTAATATGCTGGGGGCATTCCCTTCCACCCCTATTGCAGCCTTGGAGGCAGAGTCGGGGATAGTCCCTCTCTCGTCGGTGAGGACAGCGAGGAACTGTTTACCACTCCATCATATGGCCTCTCTGCCTTGTACTCACCTCTGTTGCCTTTCTTCACAGATGTGGGAGACAGCCTCTGTTCCCCCACATTTGGTTCAGCCTTCCTTTGTAGCTAGGCCCCAGCGTTCTCTGGCCTGCCTTACTCTTCCTGCACTTGTGGTGACTCCCTCCCCTCTCCATTCTCTGGCACCCCCCTGGCTGGACCTGACACGATACATCCACCTGGATTGGCATTACAGGAACAGGGAACCCCCCCTCAGTTAGTTGCATTTCTGTTTGAAGAGTTTCGCTCTGTTACATATGGTTCTTCATTCTCTGTCTACATGGATGGCTCGGCACAGTCCTCCCCCTCTTTACTTCATCTGCGGCCTTCTTCACTAATCTCTCCCTATGTCAAACGTGGCAGTTGGACCCTGCTCATTCTGTTCTGGCAAGGAAGCTCTTTGCCATTCACCAGGCTCTGGCTTTTGTCCTAGATCACATTCCCCCACAACCACTGGTCCTCTTCTCTGATTCCCAATCTTCCCTGGCACTTTTGTGCTCTCCCCGTCCTTGATCACTGCACGTCCTCGTTCGTCAGACACAATCTCTCCTCTTGCGCTTCTTGCAGAGCCCTGGTTGGAGCATCTCCCTTCAGTGGGTTCCCGCCCATGTTGGAATCTGGGGAAATGAAGTGGCAGATCGGGCAGCCCCCCTCGTGCACACACTTCCTACTGTTACCCCTCTTGCTGCCCTGGGCCATAGTGATTTCACAAGGGCTGTCTGGAAGGGAATCCGTCATCAGTGGCAAGAGGGCCTTGCACACTCCCTCTCTTCTTTGGTGTTGGGCTCTGTCCGAACTTTTAATGGCCCCTGCCCTTGGGCTCGCCATCCCAACCACTCGGTGGATGTTGTACTGACTCGCCTTCGAGTCGAGCACTCGCGACTGGCGGCTCATCTATATCGCCTTTGGATGACGGACTCTCCATACTGACAGTGGTGTCCCTCACAGCCTGAGACCGTGGAACACTTCCTACTGTGGTGCCCACGTTATCACTCTGCACCGACTACTCTCCGTGTGGCCTTGTGCACACTTGGGGTGCACACTTTCACTCTACCTGTCCTCCTCAACGGGGAGGGGTTTCCCCCTCTGGACCATCAGGAGATATTGGCTTGTACCTGCTCCTTCCTGCTGGCTTCAGGACATATCAGAGACATATGATATTAGTCAAGATATTCTTCCACTTTGGTCGATATTCCCTCTCCTAGCACTGGACGGCCAGGCTCGATATGGCGTATGCTGTCAGTGGCCGTGAAACCCCAACAGAAGAAGAAGAAGAAGAAGAAGTGCAAAACAGCACATTTCAAAGAATTCCAGTGACTATATGTGTATATAATAGAACAATAGTAATAAACAACTTTTTTTATTGTTGATTTGTGTAAAGATGGTTTGTAACAATATAATGATAATGTTTGTGCAGTTATTGTGTTGCATACAATGAGTGGATATTGCAGGTGAAATTGCTGCCATAGAAAATTTACAGAGAACCTTCACGGCACATATAGCAGAGATAAAACACCTCAGTTACTGGGAGCACTTGAAGTTCCTGAACCTGTACTCCCTGGAATGCAGGCAGGAGAGATACATGATTATATACACCTGGAAAATACTAGAGGGACTAGTACCAAACCTGCACATGAAAATCACTCTCTACGAAAGGAAAAGACTTGGCAGACGATGCAACATCCCCCCAATAAAAAGCGGGGGTGTCACTAGCACGTTAAGAGACAACACAATAAATGTCAGGGGCCCAAGACTGTTCAACTGCCTACTAGCATACATAAGGGGGATTACCAATAGACCCCTGGCTGTCTTCAAGCAGGCACTGACAAGCACCTAAAGTCAGTACCTGGCCAGCTGGGATGTGGCTTGTACATTGGATTGTGTGCAGCCAGCAGTAACAGCCTAGTTGATCAGGCCCTGGTCCACCATGAGGCCTAGTCACAGACCAGGCCGCAGGGGCATTGACCTTCGGAATTCTCTCCAGGTAATATACATTATGCACTATTGGTCTCAGGCCACAAAAGTTACTTGAAAAAATAAAATATTCAAAACTAAAAGAAAAAAGCTGAATAGAAGAATATGTAGTATTACCGAGTGAGTGGCAGTCACGGACGTTGATGTTGCTGTTCACTTTCTGTCATCTTCACGCCTCTTTGTCTCGGTAAGTATTGATCGCATTTTTTTTTCTTAAAACACAAAGTTATTCTTAAAATTTTGGTAGGAAAAAATATTTTTTTATTGAATATTTTTCGACATGGAGAGTGAGTTAACCTTAATATCTTTATTTATCACATGTACATGGTATACAGTCCTAGTTGACATCAATGACATTGTGGAAAATTAAATTTACCTGGATGTAACTCATAAGATACATAGCAGTAAATGGTAACAAAGATAATTATTCTTTATCAGGGTTAGAGACAAGTAGGAATTTTTGGACACCTAGGTCGCAAAAAAATGTCCTTCGATACCTATGATAATCTATCTCTCCACAAGTCACTCTGGACCTATATTAATTTCAAATGAAATGTACATCACCAGGAATTCTGGTAAAAACATTAATATAAATATGTGGACTGTATATTAAATTTAAAATGTAAATACATATACATTGAAGGAGAATTTATAATACTAAAACTCACCAATCAGTCTGGAGGTTATGGTGTGTCATGCAAACCCCTGCCTAAATATGAAGAAAATACTGGCCAGAATTCCAACATAGACAACTTAGCTGGGGTTCCAAGGCTGTCCTGTTCATCTGCTTAATGCTCATGTTATGGAGGACTGCAAATCCAACGATTTCTGCTCCT